TGGAATCTTCTGGAAACAGGAGATGGCTGCACAGGGGATGCTCCTGGGTCCCCTTTGCAAACACTGGAATCTTCTGGAAACAGATAGAGGTGGCGAGTGCAGAGGGGGATGCTCCTGGGTGTGCTTTGCAAACACTGGAATCTTCTGGAATCAGCAGATGGCTGCACAGGGGATGCTCCTGGGTCCCCTTTGCAAACGGTGGAATCTCCTGGAAGCAGACGGGGTGGTTGCACAGGCTGTGAACGGGCCGTCCTAGTGTGCGCCTGAAATGGACGGATGGCGTGATTGGCAAATGGTACCTCAGTGAAGCTGTTTAGAAAAAGCTCTTCCCCGAAAGAGTCGATGGAAAGTGGCCGGAATCCAAAAGGCTCTGTCACGTTGTGATTAGGAAGCAGCAAAGGGACGGGGGGCTGTGCAAGTGACGAACTCGGGGCAGCCCGCCTCCCTCAGCTCATTGAAACGATTTTTGTTGTGTTTACGTGAAATGCACGTGGGCACGGGAAGCGGGGGAAGGGGCTGGTTTGCGGGGTTTGGGAAAGGGTTTGGGGACAGTAGTGGAGAGCGACAGGACCGTGGTGGCCGGCCCGCATTCCGCTTCTGTCTGTCCCAGAGGTAAGGGAAATGCCCGCCCTTCTGGACAGATATTTCCCCGGAGCGTTTCCTATGCTAGAAAGCAGGGGAGAGGCTGGCTCCCGGGGGGGGGGGGGGTCCCTCCCCAAATTTGTGCAATGCAAGGACGAGCCGGAGGCCCCGGAAAGCCTTGGGGCCGAGCCCAGTTTGAAAGCGTCTGGCCACAAAGTGAAAGTAAGGCTCCCTTGGGAGGGGGAGGTTGGGGCTCCGGGTTCAGGAGGAGGAAGCGAGCACGTTCTGTGTCTTCTGGGAGGCGCTGTCTCGCGGGAGCTCAGCTGGGGGCCAGGCTGTGGTTTCAGGGGCAGAGGGGGAAGCCGGGTACAGCCGCAACTCCTTGGTGGCACCCTGGGGCCCCGGCAGCCGCTGGAGCGGCTCACTAGTAAAGCGGCACCTTCCAAATGGCTCGCGGGCCACCTCCTCCGGGAAGCCCTCCGGGAGTGCTCTCACAGGTGCCTGTTTTGGGTCCGTCCCTGCGGCAGCCTGTCCCTCCGTGCAGGGCCGGTCACATGCCTGTCCTCCCGTTGAAGAACCGGGAAGCGGGGCGCACGGGGCTCGTTGTCACACCCCTGGCTCCCAGCCGCGTTCGCGGAACGTGTGGATCCTTCAGGGGGTTTCCACAACATCCTGTGTTGGTTCTGCTCCGCAGCTGGAGGCAGCTGAGATCCCAGAAGGATTTCTTCCTCCGTTCACACAGCCACGGAACGATAATCTGCCTTAAGATGCGTGTTGAGTCGAGAGCCACCGGGTGCCGGGAGAGGGCAGACCCTCATCTGACAAACACATCGGCCCTCCGCGGGGCTCGCCGGGGGTTGCCCTTTGCACGGAGGCCCCTGCGTGGCTTAGCAAGTGGGAGGATGGGGCAGAGCGGAGCAGCCAAGGGTCAGGAGCCAGCCCCCCTCCCCATTTCTCCTGTCTGTGTGACTCACACCCTCTGTGCCCCCACAGGTCAACGTGACTTTGATTTGGCCGATGCCCTCGATGACCCCGGTGAGTGGTCGTATTTCTTGGGGGCGTTGGTTCTGGGGTCTGGGGAGCCTCCCTGCTGGCGGGTTCGCAGGCACCTCCACGATTCTTTGAGCTGTGGATAAATCCTTGATGCTCATTCAACTTGTTTTCTCTCTTTGTTCACAGAACCCACCAAGAAGCCAAGCTCAGGTGAGTGGCCATGAGGGTGGCCAGGAGTGAGCCCGCGCCTGGGAGTCCGGGGTGTTTATGGGGGGCTGCTGAGTGTGCAAAGCAGGTGCAGATAGCTCCAAGCAGTCATTGGGGAAATGCAAATCAAAGTCCCCGGGAGACATCACCGCGTCCCTACCAGGACAGCTAGAATCAAAATGTGCAACATAGCAAGCGTGGGTGAGGTGGGGAGAAATCAGAACCCACACCCTCCCCGACCTCGTGCATGTGCTGGTAAGAATGGAAAAGGGTGAGGCTGTGTGGAAAACACTGTGGCCTCAAACCAAATAGCTAAGAACAGAATTTCTACGGGACCCAGCAATACCACGCCTACGTATAGACCAGCAAGAGTTGAAAACAGGGACTCCAGCAAATGTGGACATCCACATTCACAGCACGGTGATTCACAATAGCAAAAAGGTGGTAATGACTTAATGTCCATGGAGGGAGGGAAAGATAGGTGGGTGGGTGGATGGATGGATGGATGGTTGGATGGGTGGGTGGATAAGTGGATGGACGATGGATGGATGGGTATATGGGCAGATAACTGGATGGGTGGATGGATGGATGGATGGATAGGTAAGTCGGTGTGTGTATAAATGGGTACGTTGTTGGACAGATGGATGGATACATGAATGTGTAGATGAAAGAAATGATGGACGGATGGATAGATGTATGGGTGGATGGATGCATGGGTGGATGGGTGCGTGGATGGGTGATTGGATGGATGGATGGGTGAGTGGGTGGGTGGATAAGTGGATGGATGATGGATGGACAGGTGTATGGGCAGATAAGTAGATGGGTGAATAGATAGGTGGATGGATGGATGGATGCATGGGTGGATGGGTGGACGGATGGATGGATGGATGGATGGATGAGTGGGTGGGTGTATAAATGGGTAGGCTGTTGGACAGATGGATGGATACATGAATGTGTACATGAAAGAAATGATGGACGGATGGATGGATGGATGCATGGGTGGATGGATGCGTGGGTGAGTGAGTGGGTGGATAAGTGGATGGATAATGGATGGATGGGTGTATGGGCAGAGAAGTGCATGGGTG